TCCTGCCAGAATTTAGTCACAGTCTACAGGACTACGAGTCTGATCAGCGGATGACACATATTTTCACCTTCTCAGATTATCAATGATAATCTGCAAAACCCCGCTGAGCAGCCCCTCGAGACTTCAAGGCTCATTGATTACTAGCAAATATAATCGGCTGCGAGCGAGGTCGTTCAGTCGGTCCAGACAGACACCCGTTCCATTGGGTTCTGAATACCGATGGATATCACAGAGGACAAGTGATTACTTTGTATTAATCCATCCGTAGTCTTCGTAGCGCTTATTAGATCTCGCTGGTGTAGGTGTTAAGTATTTTTACATCGAAGACTGAGATGCTGGATGCAGTCGATCCGCAAATCAATACAATAATTCCAGAATGACAGTCTGGTGTCACACGAAACTAACAACTATGGCGCCCTTTGTGGATCCTAGATTACGAGGGCTCTAGTGTGACTTCATTCACGTCCATTAGTGGGCAATAAAAATTCGTGAGCCTCGAGACATCAATACGGTGCAGAGGTAGTATTAGTAGCTCTTTGAGCTTAGATTACGTATGTCATGAGCCTGACTTGCAGCCACTAACTAGTGTGCGGGCGGATTTGTATATCACAAAACATGTGACTGTTTGATCAAACAAAGTACGATCATAAGCTACTCATCTCATGCAATCCTAGGTATTTATACCTTGATCATTGGAGGCTGATTCGAAGTTGGATCATCTTTTGTTCTTAGAGCATGAGTCTTCCCGGCTGAGCCTCCCCTCGTTCTGGTGCACGAGGACTCTGAGCACAAGTCAGCACGAGTGAGACACCATGAAGTGTGGAAGGAAGTTCACCCCAGAAGATGATATTCACGGAGCAGCGATTCTCTTAATAAGGACTGATTTTGAACGTATCCAAGGAGGAGGAGGCAGCCAAACTCTCGTTGTCCTTTACGACGTATGAAAATATATTAAGACCCATGGAAATGAAGAAAGTTGATTTCTTCAGTTGTGTATCGGGGATCTGCAGGCATGGTCCTCCTTTTCTTTCCGTGAGGTAGCACATGGTATAACATACAGTGCCCTTGTAGCTCGATGGTGAAGAAAGTTTGTAAGAGGTGTGCGACGAAGTAAAGGCAAGCAGTGTTTGTCCCGAACTACTCTTAAACGCACATAACCGTTCAATAGTGATAGGAATAAGTCTGAGTATATTAAGGTGCATTTATCCACTGCGAAGGGAACAGATGATTCCAATCATTCCCACTTGCTCTACATCTACTAGTGATAATATATCGAAGTTGTTTTTGTGGCAAACAACTAGTAGTTATAGAGACGAACGCAAGAGTCTCGAGAGTTTTTCTCACACACAAATTATGACAAGTTGATGCTAAATTTTCTCCGACCATAATTATTATTCATTCCGACCCATTCGATCTTACAGGAGGGCAGACACCTCGAGAAATTGTATTGATGTCGGAGCGTTAGACTGAGAGCTGATAATAATCTACAAGCAAGTCACTGTTGGAGGAACAGACACGAAACAGTCAACGACCTTCGGAGTTGGCGTTTTCCCCTTCTTTTCGTCTCTCGCTTCTCTTCCAGCTCGTTCACACGTACGTGAAATAAGTACATCGATTAAACCGTTTGCCATGTCTAACTCGAAGCTGCTTTGGATACAGACGATCTCAGATTCCCAAGGGACTGGTTTGCTACAACTTGCATAAAAGGGCATGAAGTATTTATGATTCTTTAATTTCTCATCTAATCGAATTCTCCAAATTTCCATTAAGAGAGGGACTTACTGTATAACATACAGTGAAAACGGAGAGAGAGAAATATTCTTTGGTAATTATAACAATTGTTTATTTATTTATTTATTTTGCAGTGTGGAATTTACGATCTAGAGAATCACGGCTGAAAGAGAAGTGGGAAACCTTCAAACACACCTTTGACTACATAGCACAAAGCATGCAGCTCGAGCGAGACTTTGACTCGCTTTATCGTGACTTGTGGTGTGGTTCGTTGCTCCAATGTGCTGGATCATGACGATCTGATTATCGTTGGGTATGTTGGTAACTGCCAAAGAGGTGCTTCCAATTGGGGTCGTGACAATATCTGGACACCACTGTAGTCGTAGCAGTTTGTCTCACACTTTGACTTTGACTACAGCCCAGCTCTATGTGGGGGCTGTACAAGCTCATGACATAGGTCATGTCAACTGGATGCATGGATTGTAGAAAACCACTGCAGCTGCTACCCAAAGGAAATGGCTTGTCTTCGTACGAGGGATGCATTTCTCTCGTCAGCATCGACTTCTTACGAGATGATCCGTTAAACGAGATTTTTATTCGGACGACTCCTCAATGGCCGGGACCAGCCTCATAATGGAAGATTCTCGCTGGGATGTTATCTGAATTTCAAGGTTGGACATATGCATACAATATGAAGGCCGCATACCAAAAGTGGACCGAGGAAGGAAGAGTGTGCGTGTGTGTGTTGGGGGTGGGCGTTACACTCGATTCATGTTTTATTCAAGTGGTGGGGAGAGGAACATTTGCCTGCCGTCGAGTGCAGAGGTTCTTCAGAATGTCATGTGTAAGGAACACATTCGTTGTTGTTGTTGTTGTCCTCCCTCATCGCGCACTCGCTCTGTTGTTCCTCCTCCTGATGGATGGAGAGGCAAGAGGCGACGAAAGTGAAGCATTTGGAAGATGGAGGATGATGCTTTCTGTCTCGCCCCACACCATTCCCACTCATGGAGGGCGGCACGTTCTCGAGGATGATGGGTCGGGAGTGAGGACGGACACATGTATCGGCAGTGGGATTCTGCAGTCGCAGGAGAACATGGCCGCACTGCATGTCCGCTGATGATCATTCCAGTTCGTTGATTGACGATCGGTGGGAGTGAGAGTGCGCTAGAATATTCGGTTTTTTTTAATACGCATCTCAAGTCGGTGGGCAAATCTCAAGAGCATAATGAGGTAATTCAAGGGGTTCACTGAGTGTCGAGTAAACTCGAGAGGGCAGATTACGTGGTGGGAGTAATTAATAAATTGTATATTCACACTCTCTCCCTCTCCCTCTCTTTCTCCCGAGCAGACAAAAGTGAAACATTCCTTCTTAAAGGTGTCTTAGATAGTGCGGAATAATTGACCTCGAGGTACAGTCACGCATTCTCGAGCATGAAGACTGCGATTTTGGCTTGTCTTTGGGAGTGAGAACAGTGAGCTCCTCTTAAGGACTTGAGATGAGAAGGCCTTAGGAAGTGTCAAATGTGGGCACTGTTTACAAGAGCAAAGTCTGTTCTTCAATGCTGGCCAAACATCTTGTCCTCGTCTCCCGAACGAAAAGCCTACAATTTGTGGCATTGTAGTGGCCATTCAGTCACAACGTACGAGCATTTCTCGTTTGGGCTTCTAGCCCCATTGACTAGATTCTCGGCGTCTTTTGGTTAGACTATGCAGGCAGTCAAACCCATAATATTGAGACGAAGCACTTGAGCGTATTTCGGGAGATGGAATTATATATTTGGATACAAATATCTCCTGATTAGGCGATGACATGAATCCAAAGTAGGCTCCTGGCCAGATTCCAAGACTAATAGGGTCTCGGAATCTGTGGCTAAATTCTTTCCTCGAAATGCGAAATTACTGGAGACACGGTTTAGGAATAATAAGGAGGAGAGCAAGCATTTGGAGAAAGAAAGTCCAATTGGATTCCTTTCCTGCCATGAAATGCATTGCAAGACCCTTTCCCTCATGATCTGAAGATAAATAAGTTTTATTAAAAAAGAGAGAATCGTCAACGAAATTATGCGGGTATAGAAGAGGAATTTCGAGGGAGGTAAGGAATTAGCACATGAATCTTGAAACAAAAGCATTAATAACATTCTCGGTGAGAGATGGAGGATCTATCTAGGCCACCGACTTTCGTTGCAAAGTATGCATGCTCGGCGTATTGGGAAGGCTCCTACATCATCCTCTCAAATTTGCCTCCACCAAAAGATTTGGTACCAGAGATTCTCTCTTTGCATGTGTGGGATGCATGATTCCAAAGTCAAAACTTGGAAATATGCCTTCATGCAGAATCCTTGCACAAGACTGGCGGAGGACTCGAATTCGCACGCACTCATGCGAAGAGCAGATTTCGAACACCAGTGCCCGCGTGCTATGAACCAGAGAACGGCAGACTAACGAACGCATCTGCACCTTGTGTTGCTGCGAACGCACGTCGAAGGATCCTCCCTTCGAGGCAGTCAAAGGACATGTCCCTTCCAACAGCCGAGCTTCAATGGAAAACAAACCAGAACGAGAACAAGCCTGGCGCAATATTTTAATCATATGGCCACAATATCAAGCTCGTGCACAGACGAGAGAAAGAGGAACGAGCCGGCTCTCCAGCTGAAACGGACATGCAGCAGATTGTTGCGCCCCGAAAAAAGTATTTTCAACGCGACAAAACTGCGAAAGGAGGGGATCTGTAGGCCTTACACTGTATGCCATCGATGAGGGAAAGGAGCTCAATCCATGCAGGCAGCAGCAGATCCTCACGAAGGTACACCATAACCCGGACATGCCCCCCGGATATGTGAATATCCCAGTTTTTACATTTTCACATGCAGACTGCGTAACAGCCTCGGGTAGATGTGGGGCAGGCAGGCAGGCAGCAGCAGCAGCAGGGCGGGCACAGGTTTCAGGGCACTAGCACCGAGCAGAGTAAAACTTCCCTTGATTCCCTTTTTTCCTTCCTGCCTTCCTTCCATGGCGCACCCCTCCTTGCACACGAGGTGGAGGGCGGTTTCCGTATGCTCGCTGAATTCTGAGGACTTTGACCCGATGGCCGGAGATTAAATCCGACGTTCATAATGGCGGCAGATTCTCCCGATCCGCAGTTATAGTTTTATAAGAGACAAAGCTTCTCGGCCACCCCTCAACCCTCCCTCCCTCTCTCTCTCTTAGGACCTCTCTCTGCCCTCCCGCCAGAGTGGCTATCAGTGAGATGGCCGCTGTTCCACATTGCAGGGCAAAGAAAGTCGTAAGCGGGTCAAAGATCAGAGTCTCGGATTAAGCCAAAGGCTAAGCACGGGTTGGCACGGTTCCTCTGTGTACGACGTGATGGGGTATTGCCCTCGTTTTCGTTATATTACTCGCTCGCCCAGAAGTGGTGAGCAGCAGCAGCATGGTTTAGCGCCTGGTCTCGAGATTGTAGTGGATTACACGGATTTCACATTTGAGTGCAGCTGTAATTAAGTCACGAGGAGACAAAGATGTCTTTCCCGTCCCCTCAGTTTAGCTCAGCTCAGCTCCGGCAGGGCCGCACTTCAGGTCTGTACAGTCCTCTGCTCTCTCTGAGCTGCAGCTCTGGGGCCTCTGGCCTGCCCGTTGGCTGTTCAGTCAATTCATGCCCGGGCTGCCAACTTCCCAAGCTTTGCGGGCCACTCTCTTGCCCTCCTTCTGCTTCTCCTGCCGCTGCTGCTACTACTGCTGCTACTGCTACTGCTCCATCATCTGCTTCTGACTGCCCCGTCCCCCTCTTCACTTCACTTCCTTTCCTTTCCTTTCCTTTCCCTTCCCTTGCCTTCCCTTGCGCTGCAGCTGCAACAGCTCTGCAGGAGCTGCCCTTTCCTTTGCTTCGGTTCCATCTTTCTCGCGTAGTGGACTGGACTGGACTGGAACTCGGTTGATTGATTGTTTGTTTGTTTGTCTGTCCGTCCCCGTGAGCGACGCAGGCAGCCCGGCAGCTCGCCCGCGCACCCGCGTTCTGCTCGACGTCTGCGAGCACTACGTTCCACATTTGGTCCTGTTCCGTTGGCATAACTGCTTTTTAGCGCCATGCGTTGCTCCGAGCCAGCGCTGCTCCCTCTCTCTCACTGATCACCCGGTCTGCGATTCGCTCAGGTAGCATGCTCGCCCTCCCTCATCCCTCACTCATCCCCCATCTCTCTCTCTCTCTCACTACCTCAATTCCTCCCTTCCTCTCTGTTCTGCTTTGCTCTGATCTCTCTCTCTCTCTCTTTCTCTCTCTCTCTCTCTGAGTCTGAGTCTTGGTGGGCGATAATGTCCAGCGGAGAATGTTGAAACTGTTGACGGGTATTGACTGTGCTCCTGCTGCTGCTGCTGCTGCGTGCCATCGAGCCATGATTTATCCATCCGGTGATTGACTATCTGGCTTGTTGTGAAAGGAAGGCATGGTGTGCTGGGCTGACTTTGTCCGTTTGTCTGCGTCGATGAGTGCTTGCGAGAAGAATGGACAGAGGCTGTGCCTCTGATTAAAATCTGTGAGCGAGCGAACTCGAGTGGGGCTGGGGTGGGGCTGGGAATTTGCGGAGAATAGTCGAGCGGATGAGGATAGAGGATCAGGACTAGGACGAGGTGTGCCTGCGAGCGAAGAAAGCGTCTTGCTCGAGAGACAGGAGAGACCTGCGGGGGAGGGGACGGGCTGTCCTTGCGGGGATCCATAGCATTGTCATCTTGTCTGGAGCCACTGCAGGGGACGACGGGACACGGAATCAGAGTCGATGTTTGACCTCGTTGCTTCATTCCTGGCAGGTCGTGTCTCGTCGAGTCGGGAGCAGCAACACGTCGTGCACCAACCAGCAGCGAGCCCGGTCGAGTGCGCAGGACTTTCGGATTCCGCCTCTACTCCCGTCGCTCTCGAGGAATCGTAGCTCCCCTGCGAGCCATGCGATGGCTGCTGCTGCTGCAATGGTGGAGCACTGGACATTTGTGCTCGAGAGGCTCTGATGCCAGACCCAGTTCCCGTCTCCCTGGGCCTCGCCACCTCGACCTCTCCATGTCCCAGCAGCTCGTGCAGCACAGTGAGTGATTGATTGATTGATTAAGCGAATGAGAGACAGGGAGAACGAGAGAACAGCCTGTGCCGACATTGTAATCGTCGTCGAACGAAGCGAGAGCAGTCGGTACAGATTGGCGCATTGGGGTGCGAGCCGGACGAGGAGTCGGTGAATGCATCGAGCATTTCGAGCTGCAGAGGGTGATCCATCGCCGGGAGGCGAAGCGGAGGGAGAAGAAGAAGCCGAGGACCAGGAGACGGAACGAAGTGGTCCGAGGGCAAGGACGAGGACGATGCCGGACCTGGCAGCAGTAGATGACCACCATCATCCTCAGAAAGTGGCGCCCATTCAGCAGCACCGCACTGACCTCGATGTGGCGGGTCCGAATGCCGTGAAATGAGCGACGCCACGACGGGAGAGCAGCAGCGGAATCAGCAGCAGCAGCAGAGATTTTCAGAGGCCAGTTTCCTTCGACTTCGATTGCACGGGCGAGTCCTTAACGAACAATGAGTCACAAAGAATCGACAGGCGTCGTCGTGGTGGCGCAGGCCGGACAGCAGCAGCAGCAGCAGCTGATCACCAAATTGAAATCGAGGACCACGAAAGAAGTCGAGAGCCCGAAATCCGTCATCTCGGACCCTCGCATCGTCAGCCCAGCTTCGTCCGCCTCCGCCAGCCTCGAGCGCCGCATCTCCGACTTGAAGAAACTGCCCCGCCACGATCGCGTCTACTCAATTTCCGATGCCGAGGACGACAGCGCGCCCGTCCCCTCCGGAGCCAGCCTCGCTGCGGTTCTGACTCGCCAGCTCTCCGCCAAGGTACGCCATTCCCACCCCTGCCACTCCTCTCGATGCGTCTCCCGAGCTCTGCACTCTGAATGTTGATTCTCAGGCTTGTGATTGTTGTGAGCGAGTTGTGTGAGGAAGGGTTTGGGCGAGAACGAGAGCTGAAATTGATGGGGGGCTGTGCAGGACCGAGACAGAGACAGAGACCGCAATGGTCTGGAATCGGTGTCGGAAGCGCACTCGTTGCCCTCGGTGCCGGCCAGAATGGGATTCTCGTCGGGGCCATCGTCTGAGACCTCGTCGCCGCGAAACCGAATCGGCAGGAGCATCAACAAGGATGGCTCCAAAGTGTACGTGCGTGGCTCCGACACCGAGCTTCTCACTCGAAGGCTCTCGTCCGCCGGTGCCGACAGCACCTCGAGCTCCATCCCGAGCTCTATTCCCTATCCCTCAGGTACAGCGCATCGCCCTCGCCCTTCTCTTCTCTTCTCTTCTCGTCATCTTCCTCTTCCTCTTCATCTTCTCGACCTGCAGCTCTCGTCTGGGCTGCTGCAGACCGCAGCTCAGCAGCAGCAGCAGCTGCGAAGAACTATCGATGGAAGGGAGGGGAGTGGGACTGGAGTTGACAGGAGGCGGATGCGGATGCGGATGCGGGTGGAAACATTTCTCAATTCGCTTGTTGCTGTGTCCATGATGCAGAAAATGAAGGAGTCGAAACCGATACGTTTACCTTTAGACTGCCAAAATCCCTAGCCATCGGAGTGTTGGACAGAAATTCATGGAGAAATGCCGCCGGAATAAGGTCGCTCTCGTCCAAATCCCTAGCAAGAGATCAACCCCTGCCAGGCTCTAGACTCCGTAGAGAAGACGCCGGGCCTCAAGCCACGAGCTCGCAGCAGCTCGTAGAAATTGCGGAGGAGCCCGAGCGCGCAGCCGGGGCGGGGTCCATGTACGATATGTTGGTGACTAGCATCAACGGACCATTGGAGCAGATAGTCAGTGGCAGGGGCAAATTGAGGTCCGGCGAAGCTTGTATAAAGGATTGTAGCATTGTACAGATCGGTTCAGGTTTAGCTTACGAGGACCAAATAGAGTTCCACAAGTTTCTGGTTAGAGGCCCGCTCGGCGAAGACATCAGGGCCCGCGAGCTTAAACTCGCCCTGCCTCTCGGCAGAGCCCGTGATCACGAGTTTCGAGTCCAATTCGGTGAGCTCCCAACTAGTTTGTGATGCTTCCTCTGGCGCAGCTCCACATTATTACACTCCCCGTCCCCTTCCCCATCAAATCCCCCGGGCGGCCATGCCCAACCTCCCTCCCTTCTTTCGAAGAAGAAGCTCACATTGGCTTCGTTCGTTCCCCACCCCGCCCCGCCCCACCCTCCCTCCCTCCCCAAATGCCCAATGTCCCAAAGTGTTTTTCACTGATCCTCTGACGAATGTCCCGTCGTTGACAGTCGGGGTCGAGAGCTAACTGGTCGATTCGGGGGCTGATCGATTCATTGTGTGCAGGCGATGGCAGGTCGGGGGTCGCGGGGTACCGACACCATAGCTCCAAGAGCTCGAAGAGCGCATTCTCGCCGGGCGAGTCGCCGGGGCACCCGGCCTTCGGAGACTGGCCGCGCTCGGCGCTGCTCGAGCTCTCGTCCGAGGTGAAGGAGGCGTCGAAGTTCGTCAAGGAGTTTCCGGAGATGCCCTTCTCGCTCAATTCGTCGTGCAAATCGTCGGGCGCCGATTGCTTCGAGTCCGTGGCGTCGATTCGGCTCGCCGAGGGCCGGCGCAAGAGCGAGAGCCATGTCAGCGGCGCTGCCTGCATCATGTTCCCGTCCGACGCCTCGCTGCACGCTCTGCCCTCGCTGGCCGGGGCCAGCAACGGGCTCTCGGATGGGCCGCTCGAGAAGCACCTTTTGTACGGAGGGGGCGCAGCGGGCGCCACTGTCAAGCAGCAGCAGCAGCAGCAGCAGAGATTCGGAGGCGGGCAGTACCTGAAGGCCAACCCCCTCAAGCCGCGGCCGCCGCCGGCGAAGTGGGAGGACGCCGAGAAGTGGATTCAGACTCCTTCGGCCGCAGCTGCAGCTGCTGCTGCTGCGGCCGCTGCGTCGTCGGCCAGGTCGAGCACCAATTCGCACGGCAATGGTGCGCTCTCGGGAGGCTCGACCCCGCAGCATCACATCATCCTGTCGGGGCGCCACCACTTGCCCCGATCGGCTCCCAGCAATGGCGGCGGTGACAATTTGCCTCCCGGTGCCGAGTCCTACGACGCCAGATTGCTGCTCGACAATGGCGATTTCGGTGGTGGTGAGAGAAATTCGTTCGCTCCGTCTCCTCATCACGGCCTCAATCATACGCATAATCATAATCATAGTCATAATCACCACCACCATCATCCTCACCCGCACCCGCACCCTCAGCCTCAGCCTCGGCCTCAAGCTCGTGATGCTTCGACTACGACCAGCGGTGCCGGGGGTTTGGAAGACAGCCCTCCTGCTGCCGACACGAAAGAGTCCGATGCGTCCAGTGGCGATGGCGATGGTGATGGTGCTGCTGCTCGGCCCGAGGGGAAGGTCCACCCTCTTCCGGATGGCGCCTTGGTGAAGGCGAACCTGCTGCTGGCCGTGAACAAGCTGGCCAGGGAGAGATCGGAACGTGGACCCGGAGAGGATTTCTGCGAATCCAAGGAGCTTCAAGAGCCGCTCAAATCTGCGCCCGCTTGTACACCTGTAGATACGACCGAACCTGCTAGTTTTGATCAGAAGCACGATGCTTATTCTGCCACCATTTTTGACAATTTCACCAAAGGTTTGTTCGCCCCGCCGCAATTTGATTTCTGCGCTGCTGGATTCAGTTTCCTTGACCGACATTCTTTCAGTGTTGCCTTCATAATGTTTGCGAGGTACAGGCATTGCCATTTTGTTCGGGGGATGGAGCTGAAATTGGTTCGAGGATGTGTTCCCCCCATGTTTGCTTGGCTGATTGATTGATTGATTGGTTGGTTGCTTTCAGACAAGTTCGCAGACTCCATCACAGTCCAAAGCACGAGTCCGAACAACGGACGATTAGTCATCGTCATGAAGGATGCGGCCACCGAGATAACACCGTCGACGTCTCAGAGAGACATAGCCACGCAGATCACTCCGGTGCAAAGCTTTCACGCGGCGGTGACCCCGCCACGATTACACACAGGGCCGGCCCGTCTGAACACGACTCCCGTGCACTCCGAGAGGAGACCTGCGTCGGTCGGGGTCGATGTGACGGAGCTTCAGAGCTGCCATCAGGCCAAGCTCGAGCTCGATCAAGCTGCTGCTCTCGACAACAACTGGACCACCAGAGAGGAGGAAGTGGAAGAAAGTGCTAAAAGTCTGCGCCTCAGCGTGGACTTCAAAGAAGTCAAAAGGAATGTCCTCGAGGCTCGAGCAGCTGCTTGGGAGGAAGCCGAGCAATCCAAGTACATGTCACGGTACATTCTCTCCGCATGCTTTTACCTCTGCCTCTGCCTCTGTCTGCCTTCAGTAACACTACCATCGTATATTATACGTCATGTATTGTATGGAGATGCTTGGCAGTGGGGATGCATTCGTGGCTGTCTGTCTCACTCCATTGGTGCTCGTTGATAATGCTCCAGATATCATCGAGAGGAAGCCAAGATTCTAGCGTGGGAAGCACATCAGAAGGCTAAGGCCGAGGCCGAGATGAGAAAGATGGAGGTAAGATCGTGCAGCGCTGGTGCTGGCCTGTGGCTCACGACGAGGTCTGTCAGTCAGCTGTGAGATTGAATTATGTTTAGAAGAATTTGTGTTTCTGTCGAATGTGTGAACGAAGGCTCAGTTGGACCCGTGCTCGTCTGGCAGGTGAAATTGGAACGGATGCGGTCGCATGCGAGCGAGATTTTGCAGAATAAAATAGCATCGGTGCATTTGCGCGCGGAGAATATGCGCGCAGCAGCCGCAGCACAATGCGGGGAACAGGCAGCCAAAACGAACCAGTGGGCCCAAGAGATTCGGACCAATGGCAGATCGCCCACCCCGCCGATCCTGTGCTGCTTTCCAAGCTGCTTCAATTCCTACTCCTCGTGATCGCAGTCCAGGAGGAAGAAGAAGAAGAAACGAGCAGAGCAGAGCAGAGCAGGCACACACACACGCACACACTTGTAGCTTACAATTCCTCCCCCCGTCCCTCGACAACAATAAATCTGTACTACCATCGTCCCACCTTCACCATCGCCCCCCTCACTTTTGATGTTGTCCGCAGTTCGAGTTGGTGACCTCTGCCTAAGGCCGTGGACGTTCCCCCATGGCTGAGCTCGAGGCATGTCACCGTGTCAAAGACATTGTAAAGAGAGTACATTTTTTAAAGCACCGGCACACAGAGTCAGTCCGGCAGGCAGGCACGCAGTCAGTCGGTCAGGCAAGTCAAGTCAAGTAAAGTCAAGCCATTCCCTCCTTGGCAGGGAGTGTTTTCTAGGTTTCATTCCAGCTGCTGCTCCTGTGTCGACAGTCGCCTATGAAGTTGGTGACTTTCGAGAGGGATGCACCAAATCTGTTCTTCTAAAATTTAGTAAGAGGATCACCATTTGTTCTCAGCTTGTCGCTCTTCTTCTCACTCCCGTACTCTTTTTTCTCTCGTCCAAACAGCTTCAGCGTGTGTTCCATGTGGGGCAGAGAAAGGAGCATTTCTGAGATTCTGAGATTTGGATGGATTTTGCGTACACTGAGAGAAGGGAGTTTGTTGGGTGTGGAATGATTTGGTTCCGTTGCGAGCCAATTGTTTCTTCATGTCTCTGTTGGCAGGGAGATGTAGCCGCCGCCTTTTCCATCAGGCAGAGGCCTACAGAGTTGCACTGACCATAGAGCCAGCAAGCCAGCGAGCTGAGAAATATTCTTTTTTGAATGATCGGTGAGCTTTCTGAGTTACTTCGGGTAGCCGGCGCACAATCAGCTGGGGGTATGAAATCATTGATTGTGCATTGTGAGGTACACTGTTGGGGCTGGCCGCGAGGTGCACAGAACTGTCAGTGGTCCGTTCGTTCATACGTGCCAGGCATGCGCATTGCGCAGCAGGAATAGCCCAAAGCGCACTGTGACACAGCCACACTCAATTGCTTATTTTCCACTGTCTGAAATCTCCTCTTTATGGTCTGATCTGGTCTCTCTTGGCCATGAGTCAAAGTTCCCCCTCGACTTGAAGATCACGAGTTACAGCTGGCCTCTCACCTGGAGTAAATTCCCTCCTTCACCATACCCATGCTGAGCTCGCTCGCTCGCTCTCTCCATCCCTCGCATTCCCTCCCTCCCTCCATCTCTCCCTCCTAACTTTACCCCTTCCCTTCCCTTCCCTTCCCTGCTTTTCAGAACTGTGGCTGAGCCCATCTAACCGCAAGGTCCTCCTATCTCCATAGCCATGCACGCACGCACAATCACGCAAATGCTTTCCACTTCCTTTCCCTCTCTTTTGTCCCTGCCTTTCTATCCAACGTTACCCCCACTCTCCTCCATGGTTTGTGGCGTCGAATGCCATCTCCGGAATTCGCAGACACGATCATTGCACAGCAGCAAACGCACGCTGGCTGCTGGCTCGGCTCGGCTAGGCACGTAGTCTTAGTCAGTGAGGTTAGGGGCTTTCCGCGTGAGAAGTGCTGGCGCAGGGCCAGGTTTGAGAAGTCTATGTGGAGGAAACATAGAGTTGGTGTTGGTGGCCTCTCTTTCATCATGGTTGACTTGGAGGGAGGGGAGGATGATCTTTTATGGAAACGCATGCACCTTCAATTCACGATCATATCGACAATTTAACAAATGAAAAAATTGTCGCTGCTCGGCAGCAGAGAGGCGAAGAGGGAATGCACGTCGCAAACACTCATGGAGCCATGCGATTTCACTGATGGGAGAAGTGCGGTGTACTTCTCTTCAGATTGTCTCTGTAACTGGCTCAGCCCCGTTCATGGCCGTATTGAATGCGTCCGCAGAACTCTAGCCTTCACTCGGGGAGGTGATCTTTATGAGGTCGTATGTCGAAAGGCACGTGGATGATCGTTCGTTCCATATCATGAATGGCCCTGCCCAGTCAAGCTCTCATCAGCAATTTCAGCCTCATGCCCCTCGGTCAATCTTGTATGCACACAATGGCATGCTCTCTCTGGTAAAATGTCGGAGGAACGGCCTCGAGAGTTCTCTTTAGTGAGGGGGATGCTTTTGCATGAGACTGTACTCGCACCCGCCGCCATTCGGATTTCTGATACAGTAACCCTAAAGCAACCTGCCAGATTCTGCCACCGGACTGGAACACGAGCATGCATCATTTGATTTTGTCACCAGTTCGCCATCTCCTCCTCCAATTCGAGATGTCTTCAATCAGAATGGCTGTCCTGCTTTTCGAGCATGTGCATTGTGATCCCAACTTGATCTAGCCCTAGCAGCAGGCCAAGCTGAAATATGCCCGACACAACTGTCAACTCTGAAAGCACGGCAAGTTTAGCAAAGCGGATCGCCTGTTGGCGAGTATGGTAGCTCACGAGCCTTGGCCGCCTCGTGTTGTCTCTCGCCCTTGTTGTAGACCCGAGCAGATGAGATTCCGAGCTTTCTTTCCACTACTAGCTGGTGCAAAATCAGGCCATTCCATCGCCCACACTGACACGCAGAAGCTAGGGAGGGTCGTTATCCATGATCATTATCGAGCGACCTTTTCCTCTCCACTTCTCCGTATGCATACACCGTCCCTCGCCGCTGCTTTTCGTAGCCACTTGGAGGAATCGGATAGCGCTGATGACTCAAGGACTGAGATTTGGTGCCTCCCTCTCTTTCACTCTGCCTGCCTGGCTGGGCTGCCTTCCTGCCAGGAGTGTCTGATTGCTTTGCCGAGCCTAGCGTCGTGCCTGACAGAAAAGCTTGGCAGGCTGGGGGCGAGTCGAGTCAAATCGAAGTCGGACTGGTCTGCGACCAGGGCAGTGGCAGAGCAGAGTTCAGACATGGCCCCAGTCTATAGAGCCCGCTAATTAGGGTTGTTAGTGCCGCCTTGGCACAGAATTTGTAGCGCCTGGATTCTGGAGTCCATTCAGATAAGTTGATGATCCCCGTAAACCACAGCAACAGTGTGCGCTAGGATACGATGGAGATGGAGGATGGGATGAGGTGGGTTGGACCAGACCAGACCAGAGTAGTCTCTGGACTGGGCAGGTATCGCTATGCAGTCGAGATGTGTCGATGGGTGCACGCAGCAGCCCTATGCCGTAGAGCTAACAATGGCTTCCCGTCTCGAATCTCGACATCTCGCGCACTGCACTAGGCAGGGATCGGCTCGGCTCGGCTCTGACTGCGTGCACAGAGTATCATACGCAGTGAAGTGAGTCATGGCCCTGTGAGCTGTGCAAGAGATCAAAATTTCATAATCTCTGTTTATTTAGCATGAGTCTTGGGATCTTCTCAGCCATGAACTCCTGCTTCCACCTAATAGCACCAGCGGACAGCACCCGCATCATCATCAGCAGCAGCAGCAGCAATAGTAGTAGTAGTAGTAGCAGCAGTAGCAGCTGCAGCAGGAGGAGCATCGGCATCGTGTGCCCCCGTTGGTCTTGTCAGGCTGCGATGTCGTGTGACTGGGCCTTCCTCTCTCGACTGCAGCGGAAACATATGAACTAAGTATGAGCTACAAGGGACGAAGATGCCTGGCTCAGTCTAGGAGAGCCAGAGCCGCAGGACCTGCTTTTCTTCTGCAGCTGCTCCACGTGCTTGCATCTCTCTCGAGCTCCTCGGTGGGAGTAGGTTCTCATGCCTCAGGGCGAGCTGTGGTAGCAGCAGTAGGAGTAGTGGAAGTGGAAGTCCAGAGTCGGGGGCGGGGGGCTGTTATTTGGTGACCGCCTTTTCCAGAGCTGGTCGTCGTGGTGGTCACGGTTGGATTTCGACTATGCCTGTTCGGGCGACTATTCCCGTGGGTGGGCTCTGCAATGGCGGCAGATGCACAATTCGGGAGGTCGTTTGGGCAGCAAAACCGATCGTCTTGAAAGCACTCGGGAGCAGGACGTAAGGTGTAACGGATGTGTGGTCAGAGGCTTTTGGGGCGATTAATGCTGCTGCTGCAGCCATCTTAACTCCCCGACGGCCTCGTCATCAGCTGTCGTGCAATTTCTGCCTGACGAGCAATCAGCGCCATTACCACCTCCCCACCTCCATAGCTCGGGTCCTTTCTATGCAGGTCCTCTCCTGCCTACTCCTCTCTCGCATCAACCCTCGTACCCGCAAAAGCTTGTGGTACCGCTGCCTCGACCGGTCCAGACTCCACACTGCAGACGACTCCCTCGAGTGCCTCTTCGCTCTGCTCTCTAACCTCGTCTCCTCCCATCATCACCACGATCATCATCGTCATCATCATTCTCGTGCTCATGTCTGCGCTTGAACGAAATATATGACCCTTGGGGTGCGACGATTGTACCTCGGAACTCTTCTCGTTGCTTTCCACTAATGTCCCACCGGATCCTAGGAAACAATAAACTACTGGCGCTCACATTTGTGTATGCGGGCGTTTCTGGTTTCCGACTGTCAAACTTTTGCACGATTTCGATCCAGTTTCGAGAAAGATTTAGTTTTCGTTTCTCTCGACCGCGCTGGGCAGTCTGGAACTCTACCACGAACTAGACTTCTCTAATTTCGCCCTGCGCATCTTGAAGATTATTATTCAAGCGAAAGGCAATTCTGTCCATCTCAGCACTTCCCCATACGAGAGTCTAGAGAACCTCGAGTTCGTCTCTGCCACTCAGAAAAGCGCACTCACTCTTAATGTTCCAAACTTCGCTTCATGACTCTCCTTCCGGGCTACAAAACTTCATCGCGATCAGTGTTTGCGCTTTGTTTTATAGCTTGGCTGATCGGGAACTTTCCGATCTGTTGTACGCGTGTCAACTTTTCTTTCTTCGACGAAGTGATCACGTGGTCGCCGATATTTCCAGCGCACAAACTCCAATCGATGTGCTCTTCGGGATTGGAGCACAGTGGCAACGGGCGAAGCCAAAACTAGGAAAAAAATCGAAACGCAGTCCATATTCGCTCTGTGTGTCAGTGCAGTTGGGCCATTCTGGAATGGCCTCGATCAAAAGCTGCCAAGCTTTACTATTCGATCTTCTAATGCCCCTAGTAGACCAATCATTTTCTTCAGAGCCTCATGGAGTCATGATTATGGTTGTCAGTGTCGTAGCTAGTCTCAAGGATGTCCACAAAAGCCCATTACCAGAAGATGCTTTGCGCTTGATCTATCGACAGTGTATGTTTATGTATAACATGTCTTCATCATGCTTGGTGCCTTTCCTCCACTTTCGATAGATGACGTTGCTTTGTCATTCTACCTTGGATTAATTCATCAGTCTGTATTTCGAAAGGAAACAAGCATTTATTTGCTTTCTCGTTGCCGGTTTCACTTTTCTCTGAAACCCACGGACATAGTTTCAAACAAATTTTCGAGGTCATGAAGTGTATGAAGCTCGGTGACTATTTCATAAAAAATGTTAGAGATTATCTATCTTGCTCCGAATGTGGCGAGGTGCAATCTTCAGTGAGTACGTTGGATTCAATCATGGGACCCCTTATGGTGATTGAGGTGGAAATTTGCAAAAATGATTCTTGCAAAGAATATTATCAGATTTCAATATCAAACACTTTATTTCAGATGTGATATGGTCCTATAAGTATCTGAAGCTTATAGAAACTTCCTAAAACCTTACCTATTATGTTAATACGGAAGGACAGGTAACTAACAGAGTAAAGTGAAGTCAAACTATGACCTGTAGCCACAAACTTAAGGAAGTAAAAGACCCAGAGGAAAGTGGGAGCCAAACGATAGTCAGAGCACACCAGCTGGATCAGTTTTTCCATCTATTAGACAGACAATGGATACGATGTACTTCTTCATGGCAAAAACTTGGCTGCTCCGCACCTTAAGGCTTGTGGGGCGGGCCTCAATCCGAACGCCATGGTCCAAGGGACGCGCATACCCATCGATATCCTTATCCTGAGCAGACAGCCAGTCTGACCAGTTTGGCCAGCCACCTGCCGCAATTTCCTGACCTGATCCCATACGATCCCGTACCAAATATTACACACCGACATAGTATTAAGAAACAAAATTCGATACAAACCCAACGTAGGCCACAGCCGTACCAAACCTTCGACCAAGGTACAGACACGGCGGACAAAGATGGTACGATTAGTTACTGTTGAAAACTGCAGAAGAACAATCAAATTGTGGCAACCTAAAAAGGCAACCGGGATAAACCCCAATGCTACATGTCTCAACATCTATACTGTAAACATGGTAAAAAGTGGGCCTCCCGTCTGGACCTGTATAAATGGAGCATACTTTATCAGGAACTCATATAATGTTAAATATCTTATCAGCCTGGGGGTAAGTCAGCTTTCATAGCGACAGCTTACTCTGAAAACCGAAAGCTAGCACTGAATTTGATGGAGGCACAACCCACAGATCGATCGACACTTTAACCCTTCATGAATTCAATTCTAACTAAGAAGCTTCGCTCACCAACATCACAAACCTATTAGAAAACTCCAGAGCTTGTATTGGAGCAAGAACACATGACGCTGGAAAAACACATAATAATCTCACATGAGGAATTCAAGATCTGAAGCTCTACACACTTGGCTCCATGAGGTTATCCAGAGTATTATCCAGTGATCGTTCATCGACAAGCCTCAAGCTGTGGGTGACTGAACTTCAAACAGGAATCCAAAAACACTGACTATGCCTTTTGCACTTTTGCCAACCTGCTAATCCATATCATCCCGGCGATTGAGGTTCAACACCCGTGGGTCTTTGACGCATGTGGTGCTGGGCACTCTTGGAGAGCCAGCAGCATCTGAGTGCCAAAGTTTAAGAGACCTTGGTTAAAGAAAAAAGTCAGTCGGAACATTCGAGACTTGAGGGAATGGAGCCGAAGTACCCAACAGCTTAAGGTGCGGCACCTGCGGCAAGGAAAACACTTCGCACTACGTGCACCGCAATGTAAAATTCCACCTTCCAAGTAATGATAACTCGGCAACCAATATCATTTGTATACAAGTTGCGGACTTGAAAAGCCCCAGGTTTCAATACCTAGGCCAACTCAAACACTCAAGGTGCACAACTACAAAAGTTGACCCTCTACACACTTGACCCTCTGCATTTCAAGCATCTAGTGGATAGAGGTGATACCACCTCCTCTATTTTCTATATCCTTCATTGTTGGCAGTCAAATTCATTACGTTTTCATACCTGTAAGACATCAAGTAGTTCAAAATAAGGCCCTTAACTTCGAGGCTTCATCGAACATCTCGTCGCGGGTCCGATCCTTTCTCTCCTGATCAAGGTCCAGATGTCCTTCGTCTTCTTTTTTCTTCAACTGATTGAGCTCATCCTCCTTCTTGTCAATCTGAAAATTGGCAATTGGTGGCCAGAACATTCCCAAGACAGAAAATGTGATTTGCGCGCAAACATATTTCATATAGAAGTCTCGATTGGAAACGCAAGTTAAGAATCTCCAGAAAGACACACGCATGGTGAAGGCAATATTTCAAGTTTTCCATGGTGATAATACATGCATCTTGAGCGTTTACCGCGTCATAGACCATATCATTGTCCTCAAAATCCTTCTTTTTTCTCGGAAGCACATGGACATGTACATGTGGAACTGTTTGCCCTGCTTCTGGTCCATCCTAAAAAATCAGAACAAACACAAAATCTATACTTGTTAGTATGTACTCCAACTTTGACAGGATTACCTGTCAAAGTTGGAGCAACAACTATCTCAAGTCGGCGGACGGTGCCACCATCGACTTCCAGAAAATGACTGCCAGAAAAACGATGGGCAGTGCCACTATCGTTTTCAGATTGAAAAGAAACAGAAAACGATTGTGTGTATAAAAATCTAACACGTTTAGAAGATATACAGACAGTGAAATGCGTGAAAAATATTCTTCATAATATATGTTAACCAACTCACATAACTAAGGAGGACCAACTACCTGAATGGCTAGGGTCAGAGAAGATGCGTTGAAAAAGGGCTCAAGCTTCTGTCCAACTCTTTGTGCCGTGAGCCAAAGATCAGTGACTTCTTCTGCATTGAGATCCGTGAAGCGTGGAACCAGTCTCTTCGGTGTGACCAGAACATGTATGACAGTTAAGAATCACGTGAACGTTTTGTCACAAAAACATCATCAGAAAGATTTTCGTGTGTTCTCAATTAAAAATATTGTCCAGTCGCGTTTTACTCGTACTTTACGTCGTCAAAGGCCACCGACTGCTTCTGTACATGCATGAGCTAGAGCAATCTTGAAATTGCACAAATACAGCAAACTGATCGTTCAGGTAAGGATATGACCTGCAAACCACAGATGATGGAACTGAGCTTGTATTCTATTCATCACACATTATGGTCTAGACAGAGGTGTATCCTCTTCATGCATTAGAAGATCTATAAGACCTCAACTTCAATAAGAAAATTTTCCCACTCATAGTTCTCCTGTTGAACGTGTATCCAACTTCGTCAAGAGTATAAGCAATTTGTACAGAGTTTGAAAAGATATTGGCATGCACACACTTACGTTCTGATCTCAATCTTATAATGCGTTGAAAGTAAAAACATATCCCACTGATTCTGGCTGCTCATGATGGAACAGATAGCATCGCTATAAACAGTAATGAACATCAAGACTTCCCAAGATGTGAGTGTAATACGAGTAAAGAAAAAGTACCGGGAACGACAGGCCTCAGATTGACAAAGGCATAGCAGTGTTCTGTAACCAGAAAGACTTCCTTGGGGTCTATCTTCCATGGCCCGAACGTATAGGCATCCATCTGGATTACGACATGAAAAATGATGAGACAAGTGTATGACATGTGCACTCAAATAGGCTTTACTGTGAAGTTCGCAAGCCTCTGAGACAAGAATAGGTAAAATTTAGTGCGAAACCACATGTCTGTAAAAACTGACAGACAAATTTATAACAACCAGCTCTGTTTACGGTTTATCTTCACTGTAGCTGTCGAAAACATTCAAAAGTTTCAAAAGCTATATGGCCAAATTATCGACACGGTGAATGAGTTACACGGCCTGAAGTTGCAAATCAAACTTTCCTTCGGATCAAACCATCACTGTAAGAAGTAAACTACTGCCGATCACCATCCCTTGAACTTATTTCGCTCACATGATCTTATACCTTGGGAACAGAATCACGATAACTGAGAATATGAAGTAGTGAATAGCTTTCGTTGGTATTAGGAGTTCAATCCAGAAAATTAATTCTGGTGCTCTTCAACGCTGCTTAGACAAAAAGCTTCTCTTGAAAACAATCAATTGCCATGCAAAATGATGACGTCAAGTTTCCAAACAAACAATCCATGAACCTAAGTCAACGTAAATCGACCCAATTGTGATGGCGCAAGAGTGGAAACTGTATCTAAATGCACTGATTATTCAAAACCCCTAATCCCTGCCCAAATTTCAGACAAAGCCCATGCTATCCACATTTGTATGACTTTCAGGACCTCGTATTAACATGACACTAATATAAACAGGCGACAGAAGGAATGAATTGCTGGCCTGAAGTCTATACGAAAAAACATTCTCTCATTCTCAAAGGAAGATAACAAATCTCAGATTAATTAGGATATCAACACTGACAATACTTAAGGTTCGTTGACAGGGAACGGAAAAGACTGGTAACAACAGTGCGGTCAGTTTCAGGATCAAACGTGAGCTAAATAACGGACGACAAAATTCGACATCAGCTGGAAATTGCAAGAACCTGAGGACTCGACTCCTCGAGAGGCCCCTTCACTGTGGTCGCCATCCTCACCGCTCCACCAGAAGAACTCTGTTTTACGAACAATCTTCTCGCCTCACCTCCAACAAAGGCTGGCCACAAAACAGAAGCGGGCAGATTCAAGATCCTCGGAATCTCAGACCGGCTACTAACATTTCCTACAAAATTTGGCTGCTTTATCTTCTGAGACCACGGCGCAGGCTTGCAGCACTGATTAGCCAGGCTGATCGAACCACAGCGCATTAGTCGGTATTTTCAGTAGACCAAATGACGCACTTCGATAAAAACATGAATTTGACGTCAGGCCTTTACTCGAGAATAATGAAAATTGTCCTCGAGCTCCAACGAAGCTCAGTCCACAGCGCATCGGTCCTTGTTCACCGGTGACCGGATAAATGACGCACTTCGGTTCCAAGACTAAGCTGCAGTTCGGCCTTCGTTCGTGAAAATTGACAGTTGTTCCTGGGAAGCAGACGTAGATTTCTAAGCCAGGGAACAACCTCGCCTGTCACAGGTTACGACTGCCTCTGGCCGCCGGTGATCTTCTTTGAGTTTACCGGGAGAGGCCTGCGGAGGACCGGTCAAGAATTTGCACAGGCAGTCGATAAGTTAGAGAATTGGGGGTTTCAATTTCTACTGCCTGTGCCTGGCCAAAGTCTGAAGGCAATGTAATTTAAAGGTGTCAAATCTACAGTCTCCGGTCTACAATTACAGCTTGTTATTTTCAAGCCCTCAGCTCACTTGGCGGGAGTGGTTTGATTAAATTTCTGCGAAAAAGGATGGAAGGTTGTATGAATTTGTGACTGTGTCCTTCATTCAATGTCAATACACCATCTATACTCAATTAAAGTATTTGGTTGTTATTTTGGAACCTCTAGTTATCACTCATCTTAGTCTAATTATCCCTCACCTGCGTGGTTAGTTGGGTGGATCCAGCTCAGTTTAGTTGTCCCCCTAAATCTGGCATGGCTGCCTGATAAGATAACGTCTCCACTACAGTACTTGCTAGCGTGCTTCTTGGCTAATGTGGAGAACTCGCCCGCCTTTCGTTGGCTGTTTAAGGACGCGGGGTCTGGATAATTAGGCTAAACCCAGGGATAACTAACCGTGACCATTTTTTTTGCTACTTTTTTTGTGAATTTATAGCATTTATAAATATGTGTTAAACATGACATTCTTTCAAAAATATTGAGTTGGTTTCATTTATAAGAAGTCGAGTGAGGAACTAAGTTCAGTTGATTGTTGAGTGATCAAAATATTGAGTTTTAGTAGAAGTTTCAGGCTTTGTGCGATCAATAAATGATACATCATTGTACCATATGCGGATATCATCATAAGGTAACGATCTAGCAAAAAGATTTTCAGAACACCAGGTATGAAGTTTTGGCTTGAAGAGTCCAACCTTATTTGATGACCATGGATTAGTTGAAAAAAATATACAATCTAGCTATATAACAAGTTGGAAGGATATATTTACATTTAGGTATGTATTGAGTTGGTACTCATTTAAACTCTTAAATGTGAATATATACGATGGTTATTCAAAATAAGATGTGTTTTCAAATATCAAAACTCTTCGTTTTAAAAATGCCTGGATATTCAGAATCTTTCAGAATAAGACCTTGCATAATGCTACTATAAAATAAAATGAATTGAAAAATTAGATATCAAGAATTTATATTTATGACTACATTTCTTTGTAAAGATATTTATCAATAATATTTGATATTTTTATTAATTTCAAGATGTTGTGTTTTAACAATTCTTTTAGAATAAATGATGATACGAGTTATATTTTGATCCATGAATAGAGCAATAACTATTTGATCAAAGATAACTTTGATCATAGAGAACATAATATTGTAGATTTATATCAAGTTAGAAATATTTTAAAATTTTGTGGAGTTTTTAAGATCAATTTCAGAGGAAAAAAAATTTGATGTGAAATGAAAAGGAACAAAAGTAAAAATTGATCATCACTTAGCTGAAACAATAGGCAATCAAATAATTAAATATTATGCTACATCGTTTTAAAATGAAAGAGTAGTATTTGCACTTATATTCATGTTTGAATTACTTCAAAAAAATTGCAAAAGTTTGGAAAATAAATATTAATCATTGTAAATTTAAGTATAGAATTTATCTCTTAAAAACATTTGATGCTGAATGAGTAAAAAATGCAGCATAATAGTTTGAAATTTTTGTACAAGATTAAAAGTTGCAAAGCTTTCAATAAGCCTAGTTCAAATTCTACAATCTTTTGATTGAAATGTTAATCTCTGAATATAAAGTTATCTTAAAATAATTTATTGTTTAATCATGATCATGTGAAATTTGATTTTAAGAAAATTAGAAAATTGTGGTGATTTTTATAGGATTTAGGTTAATCGCTTTTTTATACATTTTTATCAAAAAATCATTTCTTAAAGTCCTTTTTTTCAGAACTTATTTCCAATGATTGAAAGAAATATTGTGAAAAAATATTTTTAAGTCATCACATTCCTGTTTTCAATCTTAACATAATGATTCAAAAATGGATAAATCAGCCTATATTAAAAGCCTTATGAAAGCTCTACTAATGTAATTTAATCAGTTTTCAAAAAAATTCAGATGATATCTATGCATTATTTTGGAAATTATTGATAATAACGTGTTCTTTTAAGTTTGCAATCAAAATTTGGATAGAGCGAAAAAAAATTACGTAATAAAATCCACAAATATTGATATTTTGCTCAAAAATAATAATGATTTAATTTTTAAAGTCATCAATATAAATAATTGATAAAATAATGTTGTATATGTTCTCAATAAAATATCTCTACTGGCAATGATTATATAAGCTATAGATGTCCACTTGCATATACCAAAAAAATAATACTTTTTGATAGTAAAGTATAACTTGATTATACAAAATTTGTAAATAAGAGTAAAAATTATAATTATATTTTGCTAGATAATTTTATTAATCTGCATGGTGTCAAAAAATTTACTAAAATTTAAAAGAATCTTATCAAATACAATACGCTATTAATAATTTAATCCAGTAATTTTATGATATAAAAAAACCTTGCATTTCACTACATTTTGTTTTAATAATTTCATTTATGTTATCAGATGCAAATTTTTATTGTGGAGTAAGATTTGTGAAAATTAACAAGCAATTGTTATTTTTTTTAATTTTCAAAAATGTAAATCTTAATGAAAATTCATTTTTTTTGCTGATGTGAATAAAAATTTAAAAATTCTTATTCATAAAAAAAACTTGAAAATTAAAAATATTACGAATTATTTGAAATTTCTTTTGATTTTTTTTTCAAATTTTGACCAATAATCGATAAACAATAGATTATAATATTCTTCAAAGACTGAAATTTTGAATTATGGTTTTTACATGTTTGTACATACTTAACTAATCCCTTAAAATTTTTAATATCAAAAGATATACTTTAATCTTTATACATAACACAATTGTCACAAAATTGTATCTAAATATCACTTAATAAGAAAAATGTAAATTTTCTACAATACATTATGATCATACACAACACACACAAAAACGTATCTTCATTAAATGATATATGTGATTTTACAATATAATTACATGTGCTAAAAAACACAAATATTGTATTTAAAACTTTGTGGATGTCATTGAAAGATATAAAAAAAAATTTAATATAATGATGGTCTAATTGAACTTATCTATCATGATTAATATCAAAATTGACTTCTTACAATCTTGATATTGATTCATGTCATGAAGACTTAATCTTAACAAGATAGATTTATATTTTTTCAATTTTTTATGAAAGAATTCTCAAAGTTCACAAAAATTGAGTTATAGCAAAACAAAAAAAAATACACATACAAATATGATATAATTGCTAGTTTTTTTTGACACTACACATATTCAAAACATGAAATAATTCATAATATTTTTAAGTAAATGACTTTGATAAAGACGTCAATCAGATTTGACTTTGAAATTGACGGACATCAATCTTGAATATTTGAATCAATTTATCAAACAATATCTTTACAAAAATATCATATTTAATGTGAAGGTATTTTACTCAAAAAACTATCGTCCAATTCAAAACTAGATGTAAATAGATGTAAAGTATTTTGACTGTCACATATGAATTCAGAGTGTAATATGTCAATCTTCATATGAATGATTAATCTATTCAACACATTTATTTTATTTTATTTCATTTTGCTTTGAAATATTTAAGTCATAGCAAAATTTAATTGTTGATAATTGTGACATAAGAACAATATGTTCATGTACGAGATAAATTCATTTTGTAATCATTCTCTTTTTGTCTTTTGCGTCTGATATGAAAATAAAACAATCAATCCTAGAAGGGTTTAAAGTTCTAACTAGATTTTTGTTGTTGCTGTAAAAATTGTTTGTTTTGTTTAAAATTTGGAAGAAGCATATTGTGAAAATCTTTCTTGATTTCCATGGAAGCTCCCAAATCTAACTAAATGTTGTTAAAGACAATAAACTTGCTATCTGACTCAATGATCTGAAAGATAATAAATTTGCCAACTTTGACATCTACTTGTGTTTGTTTGCTTGTGGCAACAATTGTGACTCACTTCACGATGCCAACTTACATCATCAAAACTACCTTATCAAAAATACCATCTTTTAGATGCTTCATAAATTTGATCATCTCTCTTTACATATGACAGTATTTGTGAGGCACAATAAAGAAATTGATATGAATGCGTATTGTTGATGCACTTTTTCTATTCTTTATCATATACAGCGTCATGGTGTGCACTCCATGTCAACACAATCATACTTTGTTAACATTATCATGTTGTAGTATTGGTCTCGTAACAAGTCAAAAGACTCGTTATCGTCTATGAATTCAAACCAATTTGCATCATTATCACAAGTGTAAGTTTTTTGTACGCATTTGTTTATCTCATACAATATTCTACTTTGGACCAAAATGACAGTATCGATCTTCACTATAAAATACTAGGCTTTGATCGAAAATGATGAACAAATTTTTGTGCACTTTGCTTATTATTGAGCACAAACAACTACAGCTATTTTCCGCACATATCGTTACAAACTTGTAATCTCCACATTGTGCTAGTCGTCTATGAATTCAAACCAATTTGCATCATTATCACAAGTGTAAGTTTTTTGTACGCATTTGTTTATCTCATACAATATTCTACTTTGGACCAAAATGACAATATCGATCTTCACTATGAAATACTGGGCTTTGATAAAAAATAATGAACAAATTTTTGTGCACTTTGCTTATTATTGAGCACAAACAACTACAGCTATTTTCCGCACATATCGTTACAAACTTGTAATCTCCACATTGTGCTAGTTATAAAGTTTGGATATCCACATTTGCTACTTTTTTCTTCCTTGAGCCGCAAAAACTACACTGCATGCTTTCCTCCTGAAATCAAATCTTGGTCCTCGTCTTTATTAAAATCAAAAAGATTGTTGAGTCTTCAAAGATCAAATAACTGTACTCCATATACTTCTCCTTGTTGATGTCTAGAAGATTGTTGAGCTTGTTCTTAGATGCTTGTGTTATTCGGCAGTT